TTTTTGTTTTGTGTTTATTTTATGATTAAAGGTGTTGCACGTCCTCCAGTTCCCACCTCGGAATGAGCGAGTTTGAGCTAACTGTAAGTAAGTTAGCATTACAGGTTTCTATTGTAAACAAAACACACAAGAAGAAACTCAGCAGTAAGGAACATAGAAACCCTGCTGTCAGCTAGCGTTTCGGAAGTGTTACTGTCTGAGCAACACAAACAGAACGCAGAAGTATAAACGCACAACTAAACTTTATGGCGAACACATAAGTGTAATTCAGCCTTTATTTGTGACTGACCTACTCAACGTATGGCATAAGATGAATAATACACTGCAATTTATTTTATATGTGTGTGTATATATATATATATATATATATATATATATATATATATATATATATATATATATATATATATATATATATATATATATATATATATATATATATTAGGGCTGCACAATATATCATTTTATAGGGCTGTGCGATTTTGGGAAAATATCTAATTGCAATTTTTTTTATATTGCGATTGCAATTTGATTCACGATTTAATTTTGTAGTCAGGCTCTAGCTCAATAATCTGTAAGCCATGGCAACAATTCTGCGACAGACAGGTGTCTGTGACTTTAAAACCAAAATCTTCCTATTTTACAAATGCGGTTTCTCTTTGACTAATTTTTCAATTGCTGCTTCTGAAGGAGCAGACGCCATAATCCCACTTGTCAGCGCTTTCCTGTTTGTTTTCTGGATATTATTGTCACACACAGACGGCAGTCACGCATTTGCTCTGGGTGGGGTAAATTAAATAATATATACATTTCATATTGTTGCCTTTAGCGATAAAATAATCGTAACCTTTCAGATTGCGATTTAATTTCGATTAATCACACAGCCCTATCGCAAAGATATGCAATGTTAAGTTAGCATTACAGTTTTTTTTATAGTTCATTATACTAGAAATCGCAGGTCAAAACACATACGATTTGTGGAGTCACTGCAGAACTGAACCAGTAAGTGAAAGTTTGTCATTTGTATGGGTTTTTAAGGCCTGTGACTGTGAGCATTTTCATAGTGTTTAAAGAATTCAGGCACAAGAAATCATATTATTTATCATTTTAATAAAGAATAAGGCAGTGTTAATTTACATTTAATTTTTCAATATATCTACCTAAACACCGCTAGAGTCCCCAGAAAACCATAAAGTGATGTTTGTTTTACTTTAATCTTTCTGTAGTATATATATATATATATATATATATATATATATATATATATATATATATATATATATATATTAATAATATATAGACCAATACATGATTAACTCCCTACAAAACAATCCCAATTCATCTAAATGAATGACTTACCAAATGCTATTTAAGCCATCTGGTGAAATAATATTCTTATCGCAATTTTTTATAATCGCAGAGAAAAAAATAATATCACGTTAGAACTTTCCAATATCGTGCAGCCCTAATATATATATATATATATATATATACACACAGTTAGTTGAAGTCAGAATTATTAGCCCTAATATTTTTTTCTCCTGGAGAAAATCTAATTTTTTTTATTTCAGCTAGAACAAAAAAAGGTTTTATTTTTTAGGGACAAAATTTTCAGCCCCTTTAAACATTTTTTTTTTCATTTTTTCAGAACAAACCATCGTTATACACTAACTTGCCTAATTATGCTAACCTGCCTAGTTAACCTAATTAACCTAGTTAAGTCTTTAAATGTCACTTTAAGCTGTATAGAAGTGTCTTATATCTACTATACTAAAATATCTAGTCAAATATTATTTACTGTCATCATGACAAAGATAAAAGAAATCAGTTATTTGAAATGTCTTAATCGTTGTCATCTTCTGTAAACAAACTGTGTGGTATCTTTCACTACAAATGCATCTTGCTTCTTACATCGTTTACGTCAGTCACACATAACATGTATTCGGTCACCAAAGATATCACTAATTGGAGATTATCATTTAAAAAATGTATATAAAAATCTGCTTCATAAGATATGCGTTAAGCCCGTCATAATAAAATAAAAGCCTCTGACCAAAACTATTATGTTTAAATTTTAAGATTACTCTAACTGTGTTCCTCTGACTGACAACAAATTCAAATACACTAAAGATGGCCTGAGGGCGAGTAAAATATGGCAGAATTTACATTTTTGGGTGAACTGCTCCTTTAAGGTGTCTGTGCAGCTCCACTACTTCAATGATACACACGTTCTGCTCATTAAGGACGTTTGATTCAGCACCTCGAATTGGAGAATAGAGTCAGAGTACCGTCTTATCTTTTGCCCCCACAGCTTGTTGTGCATCAAACCAACACTGGTCTTTGCTGGTGGAGAGCTTGAACACTATTAGACGAACGTGACGAGAAAGTCTTGGCTGAACGCTGCCATGCGGACAGGATTAGTACCCAATAGCACCTTCACGATTGACTTAAAACATGTGCATTTTTTTTTTTTTTTTTGAACGAGGGCTTTATCTGAGAGCAAAATCTGGTTTTCGAGGGCGTCTTTTTGCATCGTTTTCGCTCCAGAAGTCACCCTTGTTAATTTCCAGTTTTGATATCTCTAGATACTCTGGCACGCGTTGAACAGTTTTCGTAATCGGATCTGGGCAGTGATAGGAAAAAGATTTGCTTACCGGTCTCAGAGGAAAAAAGAACAATAACAGTGTACAAATAAACCTAAAATAGCCCCTACAAGAGAAGCATGGCGTTTCAGATTTATTCTCGAAGAGATGCAAGGAAATATCGAGCGGGACAAAGTGCCTATGTATGCTTTAATATTGTGCAGTGGTAAACAAGAGACCAAACACTCCGCGGGAATAATGTCAGACCTTGATCCCTATAGACTTTCTCATGTGCTTAGCACGAAATGGGCCTAGAAACCCCCAAACTGACTTTAGGCTGGTGGCTTTACTAGATACAAAAATCTTGTTTTTGATGTCTTGAGAATTTATGATGTCTGGGTCTGACAGCAACAGGCTTTTTCAGAAACATTAGTGAGTTGGGCAACATTCTTCAAATATTCGATCAAATAAATAGTATAATGAACACCTCTGATAGAAGTGTTTTGCATTTAATATTGGCTTTAAAAAACAATACATATATATTAGCAACCGAGTATTTAACTACTACAACCATTGAGAAGCTTTTTAAGTGACTAGGTTGTCACCATATTTTTAGGTCGAACAGCAGGGATGGCGCCTGACTGGCGGAGAGAGCAGAATTGCCGCCATGTGTGCAGGTGCTTCTGTCAGACAGTCCCTGTTTGAGGCGACCAGTTCTTTACTAGATTTTGTGACGGTCAAAAATGTTTGTTTAATACGCATAGAAATGTTTTGAATAGAGCGAGACCCGCGCATACATTTTTTTATCGTCATTGCAGGGGTTTCCACACACACAGAATGACGACGTTGGGTAATATTCAGTCACTCTGTGGGATATTTTTATCTTCAGACCCACACAAGCAGCTTTATAAAGGTAATTATTTTGAGTAAAATGCTTCCAATAAGTTGCATGGTGCCTCAGTGGTTAGCACTGTCACCTTACAGCAAGAAGGGCGCTGGTTCGAGTCCCAGCTGGGCCAGTTGGCATTTCTGTGTGGAGTTTGCATGTTCTCCCGTGTTTGCATGGGTTTCCTCCGGGTGCTCCCTCACAGTCTTAAGACATGCGCTCCAGGTGAATTGGATTCATTAAATTGGCCGTAGTGTATGTGAGTGTGTGCTAGATAATATGGGTGTTTCCCAGTGTTGGGTTATGGCTGGAAGGGCACCCACTGCGTAAAACGTGCTGGATAAGTTAGTGGTTCATTCCACTGTGGCGATCCCTGATAAACAAAGAGACTAAGCCGAAAAGAAAATGAATGAATGAATGAATGAAGTTGACCTTAGTGTGAATGTGAGAGTCTATGGGTGTTTCCCAGTACTGGGTTGCGGCTGGAAGGATATTCACTGCGTAAAACATATGCTGGAATAGTTTGTGGTTCAATCCGCTGTGGCGAACCCTGTAAATAAAGGGACTTAGCCGAAAAAAATGAATGAAATATTTAAATTGGCCTTAGTGTATGAGTGTGAAAGTGAGGGTGTATGGGTGTTTTCCAGTACTGGGTTAATCTGGAAGGGTATTCGCTGCGTAAAACATATGCTGCAGTAGTTGTTGGTTCATTCCGCTGTGGGGACCCCTGATAAAATAAAGGGACTAAGCCGTAAATAAAATGAATGAATGAATGATATTGGCCTTAGAGTATGAGTGTGAATGTATGAGTGTTTCCTAGTACTGGGTTGTGGCTGGAAGGGTATTCGCTGCGTAAAACATATGCAGGAATAGTTGGTGGTTCATTCTGCTGTGGCGACCCCTGATACTTTTATTTGTGACTAAGCCGAAGGAAAAGAAATGAATGAATGTTTCCAATATGTCGACAAGTCATGTCATGTTTAAATATATGTAATAAAAATCATAAATCATTTTCACTCAGGCATTAGCTAATAGCTTCACTTTGGGGGTCCAAAGGTGCACACGAATCCGCAGGGTGACTGAATTTAGCACAACGCCACCATTGACACGCAGTCTACAATATATTGCACACGATACTGAAATGTTAGCACTGTAACATTGGTGAGAAAAGTAAAATCTCAAGGTGCAATGTGACGAGGTTGACAACAAAACCAATTCAGCAACTGATAAGTAAGACCGGCAGAAGAAACTCCCACAAACGGGGATATTAGCACCATACAAAAACTAATTTATACAGGCTACTGCCTCGGCCGTAAGTCTACTAATATAGGCCTACATTAGCATAACGCTGGGCTGTAGCGATAAACATACGTACAACCTTATCACGCTGTTTATTTTACACACAGCTGTTTGTTTGTTTTTAAGCAGTTATTTTGAAAATTTCGTAAGGAGCACGAGGAGCAGACCTCCATCGCCTTTTGGTGACTACTGCTGCTTTCATGTCATGTCGGAATAGTACTTTTTTTTTTAAAAAAAAGAAGGCTATGATTAATAACGAAAATCACAATGTAGCTATATTACTAAATCATATTAATAGAATCTCGTTGAAATGTTTTGGTATACCTTGTTGAAAATTTAAGTTTTATTATATCCTTTTTTGCAAACGAGATCATTGATAATTCGCTAAATCCTAAATTAAATTAGTTTTTTTTTTTTGAGAAGATGAGGTTAGCTTTACCATGAAAATAATTTTCAGAATGTAACTAACTCCGACATGACGTAAACGCAGCACGTCCATGTTTACGTCAGTGCTGTTTGATTATGACATCATCGTTCTTTTCTCGGCGAACCCGAGAACCCTCGCGCGCCTCTTTCTTTGATTGGCTTTTTAAAGAAGTCATCGAAGAAACGCCGTTGAACGCCCCCGAACGACAAAGAAAGACAAACAGCGATCAGAAAGAAAATGATCGGACACGTAAAGCATGTAAACGTGTGGAGAATATAAGGCACCAGAGTTGTTTTTTTGACGTTGTAGAGGATGCTCCGCGCAGGTATTAACGCAACTCACACTAGTGGACAGCTCCTTTTTTTTTTTCTTTTTCTTTTTTAAGTACCCCCCGCCCCTCCCACCCCGTCCCCAAAAACAAAACAAAGAAAAATTCCCACAGAAAACGTGGGCAATTTCATAAGGATCTAAGTACATCTGATTCACAAAATCATAGTTTGTATATCTAAGTTAGCACTTCAATGAAACCGTCTGCCCAAATGTCAGTGGGCATGGTGCGACAGGGTTCGTATTTAACAGGAACAAACGTCAACCAGTCGTAGATTTTAGCAATGCCTTCGCTGTGCGGCTACCGAAGCACACATTGCATGACGCGTGCAAACAAACAATCTCATTTGCTTTGTCTATAGAGTTAAAAGGCAAACGAGTAAACAACACATCTAGCTTCCATCGTATGCAATTAAAGGTGCACTCGTTCATTTTTAGTTAAAGAGGACCTATTATTAAAGACGTAAAACAAGTCTATGATGTCTCTACAGTGTGTTTGAGAGGTTTCAGCTCTAAATACCCCACAGATCATGTTTACAACTCTTAGAATTTGCCTATTTTAGGCTTTAAATGAACCAAATTGTGCCGTTTTGGTGGCTGCTGCTTTAAATTTAACTGATTGTTCTCCCAGCTGAAGGGCGGGGCTACAATTGACTATAGGCGGGGCTTTCCCCCTCTTATGACATGTACAGAGGGACAAAATCAAAGTGTTTCTGGAGACTGTTTTTATGAAGTGTGATTGTAAAAAAAAAAAAAAAAAGTAAAAAAGTAATTAATTTTTACTATTAGAGGCTGACTATATTTACACACACTTGCCACACAACTGTGTTTAAATGCTTTATAAATGTGATTTTTGCATAATAGGTCCCCATTAATGTTAGACTTGACGCATTCTGCATTTGAAAGTGATCAAAAACACTGATCTTGGCTGGTGATGTGAGCTCAACATGGTACAACCAGCGCAAAAAAAAAAAGAAACTAGAAATAACCGAGTGCATCTTTAAGTCAAACCAGAAGGGGTGACATCCATTATAGAGATTGAATAGTCTGACAAGAGTGCGTGTTGAACTATACACAGCACTCACTCATCACTGTACCACCATTTCTGATGTTTGTTTGCATGTTGAACCTTTTAAACGGTTCAAACGGTTCCTAAATAATAGCTTTTGTGCTGGAAGTCAAAAGTGAGCACTAATTATTAATATATTTCTTCCTCTTTTTCAATTTGCACCTTTGGAAATAGTGTTACACTGCAAAAAAAATAACTTGTTTTCCAGTAAAGCGCACATACTTTTGCAAACAACATGAATGACGAGCCAAAATTTCTACAAGGAAGGTTTGGAGCGGGGTCAGTTGCTCGTTCTAATCCCCAGTTTGCATACTGAATATCAGCAGCATTTTCATGTCACTTTTACTACGAAAGCACATTTTAAAATCTGCAGAATCAGTTTCCTTTTACATAAAACGTGATCAGTGTCGAGTTGGCAACATGACTGACAGGCGTCAGTGCTGAAGTGTGTGGAATCGCATCACAACTGACCCCACTCATGTGTGAACGCTCTTTTTTCTTTACATAAAGTGTCTTTATCTTATATTTCTGGTAATGACATTCTTCGCCGTGTGAAATGTGTGGTGTAAATAAAACTTTTTCTTCAAACAATAAACACGCGCATATATAAACTAGAAGCAAACTATTAAATGGATCGATCTGTACTGGAAAACAAGAGGATTTTTGCAGTGCATAAGCGCTTGGATGTGTCACACACGTGGGTAAAAAGGGACACGCACACACACACACTCCTGCACCATCCTGGACACGGTTCATACATCATGTTGTCGATAGCAGCGTCTTACTGTTAAATGGTGGGTAAGTGGGTAACTTCCGGCGATGAGTGAAGAGATGCAACTGTTCGAGTCTGTGAGGGTTGTGTGTGTAGAGCAATCCCACATTACAGTACAGTAACGTTTGATTATCATGTCACTCTGGGCGTACATACGTACATGTATTTACGCGCTTTGCATTAGTCCTCGTCCCCGTCGTCGCCGTGCAGGCCCTCCGGCAGCATCTCGCGCGCCCTCCGCTCTCGGCTCCGCTCCTGGATCTTCTTCATCTCGTCCGCGTACTTGCAGAAGGTCGCGCCGAATTTGGACCACACTTTGCAGGGCACCGTGATGGAGTTGCGGTAGGTTGGCTTCACCTCGCTCACCCGCATGAAGACGCCGTACTTGTTGGAGCCGACGTCGAAGAAGAAGCGCTTGTTGTCCACCGTCAACGAAGTGCCCTCGGGCAGCTCCGCTGGATCCTCGTCCACGCCGAAGTCGTCGATGAGTTTGGCCAGCGCGTCGCGGAACTCGATAAGCCCCTGCGCCGGAAGAGCGATGGTCTGGCCTTGCGAGGTTCCCAGGCCGGGGCCGCGGTTGACGGTCTGCCGGATCCGGAGAAACCGCCCCCTCTGGTTCTCCTTCAGATCCATGTAGTACTTCCGATTCTCGCGCACCAGGAACTCGCTCTTAAGCGCCCTCCTGGGTTCGTCCTGCACCAAGTCAGGGTTGCTGGGGCCCAGCTGGGCGTAATGCTCGATGAAGTCTCCCAGGTAGTCGCGAAACTCAACGGCGACAGACATGGAGAGAGTCAGGCGGCTCTTGTTTCCACCGGCCCCGACCTCTGCTATCTTCAGAAAGCGGCCTTTGGCGTTCTGCTTGACGTCCAGATAAAAGCGCTTGTTCTGAATGTCCACGCGCTTCGACGCGAGCTCCTCCGTGTCGTGCTGGAGCCGCGATGCAGCGCCCGGGTGCATCGGGCCGGCGCCGGGGCCTGTGGCGAATCCACCGTGCTCGCTTCCACTGTCTCTGTCCGCCATGATGCAGCCTCCCCGCTTACCTTCTCTCTCTCTCTCCGTCTCCCTCAGCCCTGCTGCAAAAGCGACTGCTGCTCAGCGAACGCCGAACTATCGCGAGATCCGCAGACAGAGACGCTGCTGAAGGAGTAGAGCATAGACTCTGCAGCCTTTCGAGAACCTCTGCATAGCGGTCAGATTGGGTCCGGGAAGCAGAAAAGAGCATTTGAAACGAGCAAAAATGTTCTGACTGAGTCACAATACACGACATTATGAAGCACAAGTTATGTCATTACAAATATTCCAGCTCAGAGCAGTCTTTGCAAGCAGTAGAGTGCAACAGTTGATTCAGGATTGAAACCATTTCTGTTTTTTAACATGATACAATAACTAATAAAGCTTTCAATACTGATATGTTGTACGTTATTGATATTATATTAAACATATTGTTAGAAATATTTGCTAAATCCATTAACAGGCGTGACATTAACAGGCGTTTAACAGTAATAGCCCATTCAAGATGTTTCTTAGATTTGTGTGTATATCATGTGGTATTTTGCATAGGATATTCATAAAAAGGTGAATAAAATATTTAATAAATGTATTAAAATGAATAATTTCTGGAAACAATTATATCCCTGACTGTCGAAACTTGTAAAACTTTGTTCCTGGTGGACATGTGTAAGTTCATATTTGCTTCCAGAAAAAAAGAAGTTTGTTTAGAGAACTGAAAACTGACAACTTCATTGCATTTTATTCAACCAGAATGAACGTTACGCATGTTCTACTTCAGCTTGCAGTCTCCGTCTTGTGGATGGGCTCTATTTCTGCAGTCAGTGAGATTCCTCATATCAGAGTGTGTTGTTACAATCATACCAGCGCTGAGATTGCGCAGGAAGGATTAAACGTCTTCATTAAGTCCTTCATTTTAATATATATATATATATATATATATATATATATATATATATATATATATATATATATATATATGTAGTCACCTATAGATTGTTTTCTCCTATTCTCATGACTTCTATGTAGGCCTATGTGTGTTAAAGAAAGAGACTCGAAATGTCAGCATGTTATACAATCAAATATTTAGCATCTATTTTTTTACAATATTATGCATTTATACGTAGCATATAACCTATCAATTAGTATTAAAAAGTAAAGAATAAATAACCTACTTTGTTAAATGACGTAATCAGAAGCTAAATGGAAAATAAGGGATGTAATAATGAACACCGTAAACTCTTCCGTTCAGCACCACGGACAGCGACCGCGCCACGCCCACCGCAGGGATTGCAAACGGTTGAATTTTATTTATCAAGAAAAGTGATATATTATATTTGTATTCATGATGGTTAAAATGTTTATTCAACTTTTTTTCTTTTTTTTTTGTAAAGCGAGAGAATTCAAAATATTTTAGACGGTTGTAGTTGATTTTAGCTTTTAAGAGATTCAATCTGTATGACTATGAAGATCAGTTAAAAGCCAAAAATGTAAAAATATTAATATTCTTAACAAAGTATATATATATATGATTATTTTTCAAATACACTAAAAAAACCCTCTAAGAGTTAAATAAACTAAAATAGACATTAAGCATATTTCATGATTTACATATACAGTAGATTGAGACTGATCTCAGAACTTATTTTAGGACTGTTATTTCTCACTCAGCAAACCAACAAACTGCCATTTGGCTAATTAAGCTGCCAACAAAGCATGGGTGCTTCTGCAAGGTGGTAATCTCAAAACTCAAAGCATTACATGAAACAATTCTAAATCTGCAAACTTAAGTGAAGATTAAACTCTAACACGTCTTTCTATTAACTTTAAACACCTAAGAGTAATTTTATTGTCAACATTTCCCAAGCTCAATTCAATCCCATGCATGCAAAGCATACTGCAACTACAAATCCCCTAACTAGTTAGTTGGACCAACACAATTCCTTCATGTTGTCCCAACACAAAACGATTAAGTTTACTAAATGATTTACAAATTTAGGTAGTCTGAACATAAAACAAATAAATTAAAGAAATGACAAGAATTGTGTTGTTTTAGCTTATTTTAAACAGGTAGTTTGAACAAGCAGCAGTAATCTTTTGTGTGTGTGTGTGTGTGTGTGTGTGTGTGTGTGTGTGTGTGTGTGTGTGTGTGTGTGTGTGTGTGTGTGTGTGTGTGTGTAGCCAATTGATACTCATTTAATGTTATTTAATGTCATTTAATGTTAATGTTAATAATTCTGGGCAGTTGAATCTTTTATGACCAGGCTCGTTTTATAACTCTGAAATGACCATTTGGACTATACCACTGGTTACTGGCAACATGTAACGTGACATATATAATTTCTTTATTTTTTATGTGTGTGTGTGGGGGGGGGTGTTTTGTTTGTTAAGAACATATGTTTTTCATTCATTCATTTAACTGTTTATTTGTTCTTTTTGTGTAATTGTGTTAATATTTTTGAGCGGATGGAATTAATGGGCTATATTTGTTCACCTTACTATCGTTATTCAATTTGTATCGTCCCACATGATATCTGACAATTTTGTCACGTGCAGATCAAGTATCTTAGAAGCCTTTGAGACACTCAAAAATATATGCATTTCAATAATCTAACATAAAAAGCTGTCGCTGATGTTTTGAACTAGATTTTGATCTTCTCGAAGCTTCTTATTAGTCATTGACCCAGTAAAGCAAGTGTGAAAACACTGTCGATGTGCGTCTGGTGTTCACAGCGCGTTTTTCTATTGCATTACACATTCGCGTTGAGACTGCAGATGTCGCCCTACAGCAGCCTCAGGACAGGACCAGCAATGGCACACTGCTTCTGTCGCGACGCATTTACGCATGATGTAACCCTAATGTTGAAGTTATACCCCCGTCGAAAACTGCACAAAAACAAACCTCTAGACTGTTAAGAACCACACCGCGCATTTTAGTTTGATTGGTCATGAGGGCGCAATGAGCGGCCCCTCCTCTGAATGTAGAGCCCTGGGTACATGGCAAATACCCGCAGGACCTGTTGCCGGGGTAAATATGGCTGATAGGATGCTCGGTGGTTTGCTGTGTATCTATCTTCTTGGCGGCGTGTGGCGGATCGCTTTTTGGGGCAAAATGGTGAATGTGACCTGAATGCGGATTGTTGTCGAGTAGAAAAGCACGGCAAACGCACTTTTTCACCAGGCATCGATTGCATTTCCAGTTGCTTTTCGCAGCGTTAGTCATCGCGTCAGCGGTCTGCCGCGGTGGCCCGACTGCCGTTTGTCTATTAGTTGGTGTCGCGCGGCGCGCAAACGCCACTCTTCCATTTTACAACACGTAACGACGCGACGCCGCTTTCGAGGGATTTCTTTCTACGGCTGGCCGGTCGGTTGGTCGGACGGACGGACACTCATTAGTGCATTTGCGCCAGAACTTCCAGCAGACGGCTGAGATCGGCGGAGGGCGCCCGCTTGTTGCATCGACGTTCGAGTGCATTTCTGGACATTTTTCTCTCGCATCTCGGCTTTTTCGTGCACGAGCTATGATGACATTAGGTGGATAGATAGATCGAGAGAGAGAGAGGGCGAGAGAGAGAGAGAACGAGAGAGAGAGAGGGAGTGCGCGCGAGAGGAGCGCGTCTTGCAGCAAAGGAGCGTCATTTATGCATGCATGCTTATTGAGTTTGGGGATTGTGCGTTCGTTGAAGGAGAATGCAGCAGCCCAGCAGTGACCGGGGCTAATTCCGGTTCCTCAGCGGCTGGTGTTTCCCCGTCACCAAGTGCATGGGGAAAGCAGCACACGCAGATGGCATGGACTCTTGCGCAAGCCCATTCGCACTCAGTCCCCCAGCACCTTCTGCCCCGAGAGCACTGCAGCAGCGCCACCGGCCGCCCCTGAGCCACAGCAGACGGCATGAGGAGGCTTGATCCCGTGCATTTCTCCATGCTCGTCATCGGGGTCTCCTTCGCCTGCTACGCCCCGAGTTTGGATTCGCTGCAGGACCAGGCTTACCGCTCGGCCGTGGTGATCGAAGGCAAGGTGAGCTCGCTGCCCGAGAACGTCTCCGTGGAGCCCTACAGTGTGAATGTCACAGTGCTGTACGTGTGGCCGGTGAACAGCGGCGGACTGAGGCGCGAGCAGCTCGTCACCGTCGGGGAATTCGGCTCCGAGGCTCCGTGCGTGGCGGTGGAGAAGCACCACACATACATCTTTTTCATGGACCCTACCGAGGAGCCTTTAGTATTCAAAGCGTCTTTTGCTCCTCTGGACAGCACCGAGAAGACCCTCAAGAAAGATGTGGAGAGCGTATTGTGTAAAGACTGCGGTAAGTTTATTCGCCTTGTGTGTGTGTGTGTATGTGTGTGTGTGTGTGTGTCTGTAGGTGATGCTGCTCGGGGCTCTTCATTGTTAACACGTAACGCGGGGCTGATCCTCGCAGAGCAGATCAACGCTTTTGCGTTTTGCTACATAGAGGAGAACGGGAACGCTTATGTTTGGGCGTCTCTGCAGTATTGTTCTAATCACCGTTAAACATTTAGCTGTACACACACACATAAGCAGAGAATGGCACTGACCACATATATGGCAAGCCGTTTTGTCAGTGTATACCTTTAAACCAACGACAAGCAATTCTTAGTGATTAATAATGCCTTAATTCTTTAGATATAATCTTATATAGCCAACAACATCTTTCAAGCTTTGCCCTGGCTTTTTTGTATGCTTATTCTTTTGTTACTAGTAACATTTTATTCTTTTTTTTTTTTTTTTGTGAGGATCTATGATTTAGATTTCAAGTTTTCGCTTCCAATTGGGATTGAAAAAAAGGATAACGGTATTTTTCAATGTGTTTGTTTCCCGTCACATGTACTCTCGCTATAAAAGTATGCTTACTACATGTAGTAAACGTAAAAACAATAGGTTTACACTTGAAAATAAAGTAAAATACAAATTTGATTGTATATTTCTAAACTATTAAGGAACATTTTAGCCTAAGTAGCAATTCTCACTATTAATAGTAGCTTATTACCTCTCGATTATTAATATATTGGCTATTTATTAGTATTTAAAGTACATATTCTGCATTTATTTTGTATTCTACATCCCTAAACCTACCCAATATCTAAACCCTAACTACTACTTTAGTAATTAGCATCAAATTAGGAGTTTGGGGCAAAAGGTTTATTAATAAAGTGACATTTGCAATATTAAATAAAACACTAAATTAATCATGACATTATGAAGTAGTGTTTTTTATCATATTAAAATTGCACAACTGAATCCAGTATTCATTAGGCAAGTATTTAGTGAAGGCAAAAATTAACCCTGATTAATCACATCCAAACTAAAAGTTTGTTTTGACATATTTTAAGTGTGTCAACTGTGTATATTTATTATATAAATGCACACATGCATGCATTTAATTGAGAAAATGTTTATTTATATTTAAATACAGTAAAAAATATATAAATTTAAATATCTATAACAAAATAGTTTTGTTTCTGTTTCTATTTCTTTTGTATTTATTAGTAATTACAGATCAGAATAAGTATAGTGTTTCATTTTTACATCGAATATATTGGTTACACTGAATGACAACAAATCATTTCACCTATACTTGCCATTTTCTATTCACAAATATTATTTGAAACATTAATGTACTCTTTAATTAGCATGCATTAGCATTATTTCTAATAATTAGCATTATTTCTGTTAATATAAATTCTAATTTAATCTATTAAAATGTCATTTTGTCAGCAAATGAATTATTTATTAGGTTGATGTTCATATCTAAACCTCAGATCATATACAAACCAATGGGGAAAAATATGCAGCATGCATAAAGTAATAAGTGTATTGTTTCTAAGTACTATATTAT